GCGCGGCCTCCAGCCGGGCCTGTTTTCCCAGGGACATTTTGCAGACCAGGTCCCAGCGGTTGCTCAGCTCCTCCACCTGCCCGAGCAGCCACTGCGAGTCCGAGCTGCTGCTGCCCCGCGTCAGGTCCCGCACCGAGCGCTTCAGCGTCCGGATGCAGCTCGCGCGTTTGCCCAGCTCCTTCTGGAACACCTGCACGGGGGGTGGGGGCTCACCTGGGCACCGGTGATGTGCGGGTACCCCCTGAACCCCAAATCCTCATAGGAGTGGGAACAGAGCAACCCTGAACCCCAAATCCTCATAGGAGCGGGAACAGGGATCCCCTGAACCCCAAATCATCACAGTAATGGGAACAGGGTACCCCCTGAACCCCAAATCCTCACAGAAATGGGAACAGGGATCCCCTGAACCCCAAATCTTCATAGGAACGGGAACAGGGCAATCCTGAACCCCAAATCCTCACAGAAATGGGAACAGGGCAACCCTGAACCCCAAATCATCACAGAAATGGGAACAGGGCAACCCTGAACCCCAAATCCTCACAGAAATGGGAACAGGGTACCCCCTGAACCCCAAATCCTCATAGGAGCGGGAACAGGGCAACTCTGAACCCCAAATTCTCATAGGAATGGGAACAGGGCAACCCTGAACCCCAAATCATCACAATAATGGGAACAGGGCAACCCTGAACCCCAAATCCTCACAGCAATGGGAACAGGGCAACCCTGAACCCCAAGTCATCACAATAATGGGAACAGGGCAACCCTGAACCCCAAATCCTCACAGGACCCCAAACCCTCCCAGCAATGGGCATGGGGCTTCTGTGGCCAATGCCCCAAAGTGGCCAATGCCCCATCCCGTGGCCAATGCCCCATCCCGTGGCCAATGCCCCAAAGTGGCCAATGCCCCATCCCGTGGCCAATGCCCCGTCCCATTCCCGGTTCTGGTCCCATCCCCGATGGACCTGGGCACACCTGGGGCTCCCCATTGGCCACCACTGGCCAAGGCTCCCCCCCCGCTTGCCCCGGGCCACCGACCTTGTGCTTGTCCATGAGGTCCCCGACCAGGTCGCGGTCGCCGGCCACGGGCGCGTCCTCGCAGAGCTGCGGCTCGGCTCGGTACAGCCAGTCCATGAGGGCCTGCAGCGCGTCCGTGAACTTGCCCGAGAACAGCAGGCTCTCCTCCAGCTTGTGCTGCCTGCCAGGGGGCACGGGGGGCATTGGGGAGGGGGCACGGGGG